CCCGACTTCCGACCAGCACTGGACACTCCTGGCCGAATCCCAGGGCCTCCCGGGGGCTGCAGGAGGACTCCAAGGTTGGCCGGTGATGGGCCAACGGGAGGCCGAGCAGGCTGGGGCCCTGAGGCCCTGGGGGGAGGAAGAGGGCGTTTGGGAGGCGTGGGGCTTGGGCGCAGCGGGTGGGACTTGGTGGCAGGGGCAGAGGACGGAAAAGGCCGGAGCTGGCCATTCGGCGTTTACCGAAAAGCACCTGCTGTGTGCCGGACGCGGCGGGCGGGGCGGCCCTGGCCCCCACCCAGGCCAGCAGGCCAGAGGTCGTGCACCCACGAGTTATTGCTCAACCCCCCACTGTTATCACCGGGTCCGGGGGGAAGGCGGTGCAGCAGAGAGAAACGGCCACTTCCTGCGGCCACAGCTGGGCTCCAGATAAAGGCCCCCTGGGAGCCCCGGCCAACCTAGGGAGGGCCAGCCACCCCCCTCGCCCCTCCAAGGGACACCCCCCAGACTCAGCCTCCAGGCTTCCCACACAGTCACCGCCGGCCAGGGCGGGCGTCCAGCTGCCGAGTGCCACCCGTGCTGCTCGGGCCGGGGCTTCCGCTCCCCTCCCCAGGGTGGGCCCACAGAGCCCCGCCGAGTCAGGCAGGTGACCAGCGCGGCGCCTGTGTCTGGGCACTGCTGTCACAGCAGCATTCACTGGGCCCACCGGGGCCCTCGGAGGGGCCGCGTAGCTGGGGGAGGCTGGGGGCCCCGCCCCCGCCCGCTCTGCCTCTGCCTCTGCCTCGGGGTCTCCGCGTCCATCTCTCGCTCGTCCTGCACAGGTGACCCTGGCTCCAGGCCCAGTTCACTCCTCCCGCCTGCCACACCCTGAGGCGTGGACATTGCTCGTGCCGCCAGCCAGCCAGCCGAGGGGGGCAGGTCGGAGGGGGCCGCTGGGCGGCGTGGGGACTGTGGGCCTCGTCACCCGCAAAGGGCGCCCGTGGCGTCCGGTTGGCTCCCCCTCCCACCCTTCTCCCTGCACGGTCCTCCCTGGCGCCTACCACCACCCCCCCCCCCC